CGATGTTTTTAGAGTTTGCATTTTCTTTTCTTTTTGATTTAGTTTTAGTTTTAGTTTTAGTTTTAGTTTTAGTTTTAGTTTTTAGTTTTAGTTTTAGTTTTCATTTTTATTTTAGCTTAACCGAATGATCATGTGTCTCTATAGTCTTTTGATCTTATTTTGTAGTGTTAAAGAAGTAAAGAAGTGAAGGAGCTTAACTGGAATAGTCGGGAGATTTTAGAAGACTAGAATCTAGAATCTGCATTTTGAACAAGTGTGGGGTGCCTAACCAGAAGAGTTAAAAAAAAGCATTCTGTGAAGATACCATGACATGGTCATCATTACCACGCCGTGGCAATTCAGATTTTCTCGATCAAACGAGTTCTGACTAATCACCACGTCGTGACCCTCAATTACCACGACGTGACATTTCTTATTTTCACGACCAGATTTTTCCACCATCGACTCCACGATGTGGCCAAAGTATAAAGATCAAAAGATCAAAAATTCTAAAGAATCAAAAATTGAAGATACCAAAAATCCAACAAGAAGGTGTTGAATTCAAAGAAATCAAAGAACAATTATCAAATAAGAGATGAGTTCAAAGAGCTCCATTGTGGTATCAAAGTTGTAATCTTTTCTTTTGGATCATATGTATGCTTGGGAAGCTTAACCAAAAATACCCGAGGTTAAGAAAGATTTCTGAGGATGGATTTGGAGGGATGCAAAAATGAGTGTCGTATAAACTAAGGGGTGAATGCTCATAAGTATTGTGAGTATTTAGGATTAGAAAGTTTTTAGGAATTATAGACACAAATACATGCATTGCGGTCTTGGGATAATGACAGGGATTAAAATAGATTGTTTTATGCGATATTGGTAAGTTAAAAATCAGTTTGCTTGGGGGCAAGAAAAGGCTAGGGGGGGGTATTTGATATATATATATATATATATTATATATATATATATATATATATTATATATATATATATATATATATATATATTATATATATATGTGTGTGTGTGTGTGTGTGTGTGTGTGTGTGCATACATATGTGCATACATATATATTGGAAAAGGCTAAGTGTGGGTATTTTCATATCTTATATTTTTAGATATATTTATGCTCATTGTAAGATAAAAGGTAATTAATCTATTGTATGTTGTGTTGTAGAAGCAAAAGACATGCTCGGAAACGAAGAAGAAGGAATTTGGAAGCTGGAAGCTAGGAACTTGGATCAAGGCCAAAAGAAGAAGAAAAGTTTTGTTATCACGACGTGGGGACATACACCACGACGTGGGATTTTGAAAACCCGATGAACTTCGAAGACTTGCTGGTTACGCGATAAACCTAAAGACCACGACGTGGTGAGAATTACAACGATGTGGTCAATCGACTTCGAAAATATATAAATAGAATGCAGATTTCTCCGAAAACCAAACTTGTACTAGGAGCTTTAGTCGACTTTTGAAGGCCAAGGACGTTATCAAGAAGTTTTGAAGTGCAGATATTGATTAAAAGCTCGATTTTGGGAGATTTTGAGGCAATACTTCTTATATTTACTTATTCTTCTTGTGTTTGATCATGGATTGCAATTTGAATTTCGGTTTTACATTTTTTATCTGATTTAGTTATGGGCTAATCACCCTAAACTTCTGTTAGGGATGATGAACCTTGAATCTATGTGTTCATTTAATGCTTTTATGACAATTTATTTGGTTTTTCGTGTGTTTGATGAATTATAACCCTAGCATAACAAAGTTTTAGTCTTTATTACGTTTCATTCAAGTTATGTGTAGTAGATGCTAATTCTAGCTGCATTAATTTGATTTCTAGTTGTTTATGATCATTAAATAATTAAATCTTGTGATTGAACAAATCATAGAGTTATGCAAATAAAGTTAATAACTTTGCTTGTGTTAGAGAGCATTAATTATCCATATTATGTGCTAGAATTGCTATCTTGATCATAGATTAGTAGTTCCTAATTTCATCATTCATAGTCCAATTTATCTTTATATCAGTTTTGTGTTCAACTTATGCTTGATCATTGCATAGTAGTTCATAAATGGAGAAACACTAGAATTCTAAATCATAGTAACTAGTATTGATTAATTGGAAGCCAATATAAATTGTCTAGTAGAAATCAACCATAGGGGAAAGGGAATTCGAAACTAATAGGAGTACTCTTTAATATTTGAAGTAAAAACCGTTTTCTTTGTTTGCTTAGTCGTTATTTGTTTGATTTAAGTAAGCTGAACTTGCAAAATCAGTAGTAACCCCCCCCCCCCCCCCAATTTTACTTGTTTTATTTAGTTAATTATTATTAGTTATTTTATTAATTAGAATTTCGTTCGATGTGATCGACACCTGACTTACTCAACTATACTATAATCCAACTAGGTACACTGTCTATTGAAACGTTAGTTAGTTAAGTTAGTTAGGTTTATAAATTTAAAGTTGATTGGTATATTTTTTGCTCATCAATAATCATCACCATATAAAAAAACTTGTTATTTTTATTTTTCTATCATCCGAAATCTTCTTTCGTCGATTAAAAGTTCATAACATACTTTAAGAAAGAGTGATTATGTATAATAATAAATGAAGCAATGTGGTCATTATAAATTCACATGAAAATACATGTGTTTGTAGAAGGAAAAGACACATTGTTTTTTTTCTTTGGAAAGTCATGAAGAATTGCTCATTCATCTACTAATCATAAAAATAGGTTATTTGTTATTTAAAATGTAAAACATTTTCTATGTAATTGAAAAATATTAAAAGACTTAGATCTTAAATTAGTTAACAATAACAATTAAATTATAAATACATAAAAGTAATAATCATGTTAACTTAAAAACGATAGTTGGTATTTGAAAATTATTCAAAGCAAACATAACTTTAAAGGTGGATCAAAGAAAACATACCCTTTAAGCCTTTGATTAATTCCATGCTAGTTCTTGTTGAAGAGAGGATGTAAAGAGCTCAAACCAAAACTCCTCTTTTGTACTGCACCCTGAGAAGCATATCAACAAGCTTGGTAACACCATGAACCGCAAAGCACTAAACCCGAAACTATTTGGGTTCTACCGAAGCCGATGCACCGCGTAGAAGAACCGTACCCACCGTGTGATCGATGTAAAAGTGATTTTTCGTGACTTAGGAAATGACATTTGATTTTAGCATTGGAGTCAGGACAAATTCGTTCCTAAGGCTCATTTATTTATAAGGGAGGTTTTCAATGCTTATTGGATTAATTACTTTGTCATTAAGGCTCCTATGTATAAATTTGACACCGTTTCAGATTCCGATTGGCCTATACATTAATCCTATTAAAATAATTTTTTTATATAATCTATATTAATCCTATTCATATTTAACAAACATATTTAAATGTTTTTACAAAAGATTTGTTTAAAAAGCTTAACAAAAAAAATATTAATATAAACCTTATATGTGTTTTATAGTTAACTATTTGAATTAAAAATAATAATCATATAACCTTATCTATATTAAAGAACAAAAGATAAAGAAAAACATAATTGCAAGTGAATTATGTTACGAATTATGATTACAGTGAAGGATGTTAATTAGAATCATAGGTATTATTGGTTTTGAGTTTACAAGATCGGGATCGGGATCTTAAATCTCACAAAAAACATAACTTTAACTTAAATTTTAAAACATGAAAAATATCTTTTAACATTTCAGTTTCCGTTCAAAAGCTATAAAAAAAACTTCAAAACATTAGTCACAACTACACAAACAGAAAGGTAAACGATAAACTGGTAAAGAGTAAAAGACGTAAAGTAGTAAATTCATTTTTTTTTCATTTAAAAAAAATCAAGCAAAGGTTGGATCGGATTGGATCCCGATCCTACGATCCCACAATCTTTTTGCGATCCTACCCCAAATACGATCTTATACGATACAACTCATTTTTCATATCTAGGATCGTAGGATTGTATGATCAAGATAACGATTTTGACCACCTTGATTATAGTGGCCATGAAAGCTTTAACAAATATAAACAAACAAACAAAACGTCAAAAAAAATATGAAAAATGTATCTAAACAAAACTTCAAAAATAAAATATTAAAATTTATTCGAAGAAAACATCAAAAAAATATAATTGACTAAAATATAAAAAAAAATATTAAACAATATATTCGAACAATACATCAAAAAATCTAAGTTAATAAAAATATAAGTAAATTAAATAAAAACAATCATAAATAGTAGAAAAAATTACATAAATTGTCCATGTGATAGGAAGGGTAAATATTTCATTTCGCATGAAATTTAACTGAAATAGTTAACAAAGTTAGCCAAATGGACCGTTCTATGCGTTTTAAATCTGAGAATGACAAACCCAATTAAAAATTTCTCAAAAGGGCATGTGGTGGTATTTTCTGCCAACAACAAGGACCATTTATGTAATTGTGTCAATTGGTATTTTTAACTTCAAATGTTTATGAAAAAAATGAATATTTTGTAAATAGTTAAAAGTGATAAATTATAGTGTCTTTCTAATAATGATTATAATTTGGTTTATAAAGTTAAATAAAAATCAAACCTAAGTGTAATCATAAATAATTTCTATTAACATAGAACTTCTTCAAAATGTTAAAATTTTATTGTTTAATACTGTTTCGCTCGTTATGTAGGCAAATATTAATTGATAGACGCTTTTTGGTCGGTCGGATAGCGCCTAGGGACTAATCGGTGATTAACCGGACCTAGTTGAGATTTTTACAAGACTGCCTAATAGATTAACTATAGGTTTGTTTTGTTATTCACATTGTTTTTCATGTAAAAACATTGAATCACAATTTTGTTAAAAATTATTATTTTAACTATATAATTATATATTCTTGGACAAGAATTAAATTGAAGATATACACCTTATTAATAAACTTGAACTCTTAATTTAAATCAGTTAATATTATTGGACGAAAATGGAGGGAGGGGGGATACAATTAGATATGGAAAATATGAGATAAGAAAAATAGGACAGGAAATATTAGCATAAGCAAAAAGATTAAATATGACAAACGAAGATATGATGACATGATTTGAAGGGCATAATTGTAATTACAACTGGAGAGGGGGTGTTTAATAATGAAAGAAGAATATAATAAGTTGAAGGGCAAAGGTTTGGAGAGCTGATATAACCTGTGATCACAACGCTTACCACTCAATTACAAAATTCATCTCATCTTCAGCTTCACCTTCTTCAGGAATTAAGACACTTGCGCTCTCAAAGGTATTTTTTTTTTTGTTTCCATCCAAAGCTCTTTGTATGCCATCATGGATATTTTTTTTGGTGCTTTTATCTTGACAGACAAATATGGTAGGACGTACGCATATTACTTGTGTGGTTTTGATCTCTTCAATTCAAAGCTAATTTTAATATACTAAACAACCTCCTATACTATTTTTAAAAATATCGCATCCATCTTTTGTATACGTAAGTGTGAGAAAGCATGTGGATTCGAATCCTTAATTTGTCCCAAAACAGTAAAAATTATGGGTTTAAACATATGCATGGTGACTCTTTAAATATGGGATTATGATATATATGGCTATGGTTGGTGGATTAGGTCTACTGTAATATTTGAAGAAAAAGATGGGTTACTGGAAATCAACAGTGGTACCAAAGTTCAAGAAGATTTTCGAGAAGAACAACGTTAAGAAGGCTGCTGCTGCAGAAGCTTGCAAGACCTTCGATGACGCTAAGGTAATTAATTAGTATCTTTGATTAATTTTTATTGATTTCTTATAACAAATTTCATATTTAAAATAATTCACATGCATATTCAGGAGGATTACAGCAAAGAGTTTGAAGAAAAGAAGAGTGAAACTCCAAGCTAAAGTCATTGAAATCTATGAAGCTTCTGCTGATGAAATCAAGGTCGTCTATATATAGTTGTATAAACTAACTTGCTTTCACTTATATTAGATACTTAAATTTCTCATTTTTTATACCAATAAAAGAACAATATTACATAAACTAAATAAAAGAAAAATCAAGTTATGCTTTGCAAACTACTTAATAAATAAGATTAATAATAAAAAGACAACGACACTCATAATGGGGACTCAATTATTGAGTTTCAAATTTCCATATTACTATTTTCTTGAAACATTAATTGTTTAGAATAATATTAGCCAAAACTATAACGAATTTTATTGAATATGTGAACAGGCAGTGGTGAAGGAGAAGAAGGAGGGCACCTTGAAAAAGGTCTCTACTGGGTTGAGAAGTTCCTTGAAGAACTCTCTAAAATCGGTAAATTACAAAACTAAATGAATTTATTTTAAAACATGCAATAATCACTCATTAATATGATTAATTTACTTATTTTGTACGTATATATTATTGTGTTAGAATTTCTGGATCGAAACCAGTTCAATGAAGCTTGCTGCAAATTCGGCCCAACCTTGGTGGAGGGACCCATTTTCTTTTGTTTTTGAGAAGGTGTCAACATTCATGTAGTCGAAGAAGAAAAAAGAAGAGGAGGCTACACCCAGCACCGAAGCAGCAGCTCCGGTGGAAGAAACAAGCAGCAAAGAGAAGGAGATTGTGGTGGAGGAAGAGAAGAAAGAAGAGGTGGTGTGGTGGTGGCGGAGGTGAGAAGACACCGGGAAACCACCCCAGTCAAGACGGAGGAAGTAGTAGCCCCAACTGAGCCACCAAAGGCTTGCTGAGCTGAAGGTTTGGCGGTGTGTGATATCGATGATTTGTGAAAATTAAATTAAAGGTTCTGTGCATGCATCTGTAAACAAATTTTACTTGGACAAATTTGTTATTCTTTCTTCTTTCTTTTCCATTTCTATGGGGTTGGGGTTACCTACCCAACCCTTTTGTAATACATTGAAAATGTTTTGTTGGTGTGTTTTCTTTTTTGCTTTTTGTATATTACTTGTGTAATTGTATAATACGTAAACTTATCAAATACAGTTTGTTGCCTTCATTGATTATTAATCCTCTATTTTTATTAGTTTGTGTTTGTTGCATTTTCTTGATTTTTTGCTTTCAAATTTCACGGGTTTCTAGTATTTTGATGAACAAATAAACAAAAATTAATTAAACATGTTTATTTGATCTATGTAAATTGAACTTAGTATATATGATACACTCGTATATGATCAGATACGTCCGAGTGTTCTCTCTAAAATAGTAATTGAGCGCAGAGAAAGTAGATTGCAACATTATCGAGGTAAATCTTGACATTTGTCTAGCTCATTAATTGTGGTGTCTAGGTGATATTGGAATCCGACATTGAACCCTAAATCCAACATCGAGCATTCATGGAAAAAGTCACAACATTTGGTATTGGAAACCTACGGAATTAAGGATGTGAATATAGAATAAATTTCACCTTTATCGAACTTGTCAAAATCACTACCAACCCGAAAAAGGTCAACTGCTACAGACCAGAACCGAATGATTGAATTGTAAATCTAACAAGGAAAAATGTAAGGAACAATATGAAAACCATTGAAATTGAGTAGGAATATAAAGGGTAGTAAAAATGAAGCAATGAGTGACGTGATAATGGGACTAGTCTACAAAAGGCACGTAACCTTCTTAATTGAAAATTGTAAAGATAGAGACCGGAGGTGGGTGGTGGTTGCCTGCACGCAATATATATATAAGATATATATATATAATATATATATATATATTATATATATATCTATATATATATTATATATATATAATATCTATAACTTTTTTATTCTATCACAAATAAACAATAAAAATTCTGTCTGTGTCATCATCAGGATACACATTTTCTAATGCTGAGAAATTTATAATTTGTATTATTATGAGTGGTGGACATAAGATCGGATAGGAAGTTGTTTGACCAATACGGGATACTTCCTTCTTTTTCTTGTTCTTTTATTTTACAATAAGACAATGAATATAGAATGGAGCGTATTGTCAATATTATCCAACCAACCTCATCAGAAATATAATCTAGGTAAGGTAATCAATCAAACAAACAGGAAACGTTTCTAATGAAGGAGAAGACAAAATTAAGTTGATATAAAAGAAGCTACTAAGATTAATTCTTCATTTACAAGAAAAATCAATAACCAACATGGTGGCCATTACCAAATTACATTCCACTGACCATTTACCGATTACTAACTTCCTACCTTCAAGGTAAAAGGGGTTTAAGACAGGGACATCCTCTTTCTCCCTATCTATTTACCCTAATTATGGAGGTGTTTAATTTGATTCTGAAAAGGAATATTGAGAATATTTCTGTTGGACTTGGAGAAGATTCTCTATATGCTAGAAGCTATCTTAGACCCCAATTGTGTCAGGTATTGGAAATGGTGAAAATACTTATGATTGGTGGCATCCAATTGGAATCTTAAGCATGTTAATTTCTAGAAGGGATTGGATAAGTGAAGGATTCAATGATATGTCTATGCTTGGTGATGTGATTGTTAATGGCCAATTCTGTTTGGTTGGATAGATATCCTGGTCTTCAAAGTGATCCGATGTTCTAAAACAGTAATGGGACTTGTGACAAGGTCGTTTGGAGGGATAAAAATGGTATTGGTAAAGATTTCTCGTGTAGTCAGGTGTGGAAAGAAGATTTAATAATTTTGGAGATAAGGTTTCTTGGTATATATATTGTCTGGTTTAGTAATAACATACCAAGAAATTCTTATATTTTATGGATGCCTATTCTTGGGAAATTAAAGACACAGGATCGTGTGAAACTTTGGGAAACTAAAGGTAACCTGCTGTGTTCTTTCTGTCTTAAAACTATTGATTCTCATGATCACCTTTTTTTCAAATGTGATTTCTCTAAGCAGATCTTTGGATATTTTTGTAATAAGATTTGGTTTAACATTTAGGTATGACAACCGGAGTGATTTAGTTGTTAAATTTAGTTGTCATACTAAGGGCAAGTTTGTTGATACCGTGATTAAGAAGCTGTATTGGCTGGATGTGTTACTCATATTTGGCATGAGAGGAACCTGAGGCAGTTTGGGCTGTTAGTAGTGATCCTACAATGCTGTTATATGCTGTGTGTAGAGAAGGAAATCCAACTGAAACTATTTGGTGAAGAGTTTGTTGAAAACTGTGAAGGATGATGTGGGAAAAGTTGGGGTATTCATGGGGAGGGCAGAGAGCCTAAGGAAAGGGCTAATTATCATAATAATGTGTAATATGGATGTGCAGGTTCTTGATGGTTCCAGATTGATTTTTGAATTTGGGGTACACGAGGGTTTGGAATGGTTTGTTGGTGGTGGGAAAATGGTTATCTGTTTCTTGGCTAAAGGAATCGACGGATTTTGCTTCTTAATTTGAAAGCTTGCTTTCAATTATAGTTGCTTGTACCTTAGGGATTTTGGTTTGAATATGATCTTTTTTGAGAATATTCACATAGTAATTCCTAGACATGTGTGCTTGATGCCATGTCTAGTATGAAACTTTATGGAATCTGTTGGTGGCTGTCCCTTTGGGGCTTTTGTCTTGGCTTGGCCTTTATTTGATATTGTGCAGGTTCCAGCTCCAAATGGTGAAGAGATTGGCTAGCAGATTACGGCTGGAGCTGCTGGAGGGTATTTTTGCTTGGAGCTGCTGCTGGATTGAGTATTGTTGCAGTAGCAGTGGAAGTTGGTACTGTATGAGTTTTTTGTTTTTTTCCATTTATAGGGGTTTTGGTTGTTTAGTGGTGGTTTTTATTATGTTGTTTTGTTTAGGGATTTGAATTGTATTGTGTGTTTGATAGGTTGGTTATTAAGACTAGTCTTTTGGACCGTGGGTTTTTTTTAAGGGCCTAACCCTTGCAAGGGTTTGAGGTCTTTTGTGTTTTTGGAGAGAGTTATTGTTAGGATCGAGGACACGAACACGAAACTCTCTCTCTCAGCTCACGAATTATAGATTAACAAGAACACAAAGATTTAAGGTGGTTCGGTCTATTCTGACCTACGTCCACACGAGGTAACTTGGAGTTTTTATTATCTTCAGTGATGTTGGTTTTCTTTTATTTACAAAATACAGAGTAATCTCTTATATAGAGATTGGAAATCAGAAGTAGTCAAAAAAAAACACAGCCGGGTCTTCAAACAGACTTTAAGAAAAAAGCCTCAAAACATGGTCCGTAAGAACCGGATCACCATTCCTTTTAATCAACATTTTGACTAACTTTTCTGTGGATTCACACTCAACAATCTCCACTTGAAGCCACGAAACAATCTTTACTTGTGCTTCAACTGTGCATCTGTTTCTGTAAAAACACTTTTGATCTTGACTCCATCCTAGTTACCCGGCCTTCTCTTCAAATTATCCTGAAGGCCAGTTGAAGCTATGCAAAGCTTCAACTTTTCTAAGGTGACAACCTTAGTCAACATATCAGCTGGATTTTCAGTTCCTTTGATCTTATTCAACTTCAGAGTGCCATCATTAATTCTTTCTCTGATGAAGTGATATCTCAGCTGTATGTGCTTTGTCTTCGAATGGAAGACGGGATTCTTTGCAAGATGAATTGCACTTTGATTGCACAAAAATAATGCACAATCATCTTGTTCTTTGCCAAGTTCGTTTGAGAAAATTCTTCAACCATATAAGCTCTTTGCTTGCTTAGCAACTGCCATATACTCTGCTTCTGTGGTTGAAAAGGCAACACTTTTCTGTAGTTTGGACATCCAACTTACTGGCAGTGCCGCCCACTGTAAAGACATACCCTGTGTGTGCTTTTGTATGAATCTTTACAACCACCAAGATCTGCATCTGCATAACCATTCAGAACTACGTCTTTTCCCCTTAAAATTTATGTCGTCTTTGAAGTCCCTTTCAAGTATCTCAAAAACCATTTAACTGCTTCCCAATGTCTCTTCCCGGATTGGACATGAATCTACTAACAACTCCCACTGCATGAGCTATATCTGGTCTCGTGCATACCATTGCATACATGAGGCTACCAACTGCGGATGCATAAGGAACTTTAGCCATTTCTTTCTTGTCTTCATCTGATCTGGGTGACTGAGCTTTAGAAAGCTTAAAGTGACTTCCCAAAGGTGTGCTTCTGATCTTGGCATCTTTAAGGCTGAATTTCTCTAATACTTTCTCAAGGTACTTTTCTTGAGATAGTGTTAAAGAACCATCTTGTTTCTGAATATACTCATCCCGAGTATTTGCTTTGCAGCTCCCAAGTCTTTCATTTCGAACTCTTCAGACATCTGTTTCTTCAACTTCTTGATCTCTGACATGTCTGAACCGGCAATCAACATATCATCTACATAGAGTAGTAGAATGATATAAGAACCCTTAAACTTCTTGATGTAACAACAATGATCATTGTCACATCTCTTGTAACCAACTTTTCTCATGAAGTTATCGAACTTCAAATACCATTGTCTGGGTGCTTGTTTCAGACCATACAAACTCTTCTTCAATTTACACACCAAGTTTCCTTTGCCTTTATCCTGAAAACCCTCTGGTTGTGTCATGTAAATGTCTTCATCTAGGTCACCGTGTAGAAAAGCTGTCTTGACATCTAGTTGCTCTAGATGCAAACTTTCTGCTGCTACAATACTGAGAACAAGTCTGATAGTGGTCATCTTCACTACTGGAGAGAATATTTCATTGAAATCAATTCCTTC